ATGGGGACACCGGGACATGGGTATGGGGACACGGGGACACAGGTATGGGGACATGGGGACACCAGGACATGGGTATGGGGACACGGGGAGATGGGTATGAGGACACAGGGACATGGGTATGGGGACGTGAGAACATGGGGGTGTGGATATGGGGACATGGGGACACGGAGGTACAGGACATGGTGACAGGGACACGGGTATGGGGACACGGGGACACAGGTATGGGGACATGGGGATACAGGGACATGGGTATGGGAACATGTCGAGATGGGTATGAGGACACAGGGACATGGGTTTGGGGACATGGGGAGATGGGGATGTGGATATGGGAACATGGGGACACGGAGGTACAGGTATGGGGACATGGGGATACAGGGACATGGTTATGGGGATGTGAGAACATGGGGATGTGGATGTGGGGACATGGGGACATGGAGGTACAGAGACATGATGACAGGGACATGGGCATGAGGACATGGGGATACAGGGACATGGGTATGGGGATGTGAGAACATGGGGATGTGGATGTGGGGACATGGGGACATGGAGGTACAGAGACATGATGACAGGGACATGGGCATGAGGACATGGGGATACAGGGACATGGGGACATAGGTATGGGGACATGGGGGTACAGGGACATGGGTATGGGAACATGTTGAGACAGGTATGGAGACACAGGGACATGAGTATGGGGATGTGAGAACATGGGGATATGGATTTAGGGACACCGAGGTACAGAGACATGGGGACAGGGACATGGGGACATGGGTATGGAGACATTGGGACATGGGCATGAGGACTGGGGACACAGGGACACAGGTATGGAGACACGGGGACACAGGGACATGGGTATGGGAACATGGGGAGATGGGTATGAGGACACAGGGACAGGGGTATGGGGACGTAGGAACATGGGGATGTGGATATGGGGGCACAGGGGTACAGAGACATGGTGACTGGGAAATGGGGACACGGGGACATGGTGACATGGGGGGTGACGTGGGGACATGGGAACATGTGGATTCTGGGGCATGGGGACATGGGTATGGGGACACGGTGGTACAGAGACATGGGGACATGGGGACACAGGACATGGGAGCATGGGTATGACGACACAGGGACATTGGGATACAGCAAAACGGGGACATGGCGACACAGGGACATGGGGACATGGGAACACATGGACTCGGGGACATGGGGACAAGGGCAGAAGCCCACTGTTGGCAGCGAGAAGGGCCACGCTGGGCTGGTGCAGATGGTGCCGGGGGGGGTCAGGACCCCCATCCCATTCCCATGGGGCAGAGGGGAGTTAAAAGCGACACCCAGCCCAGCTCTCCTGTGAGGAGCCCCCAAACCGAGCCCCCAAACTGAGCCCCCCCGGGTGAGCCCC